GAATCGAAATGTTGAAATGACCAAAAGCGCCAAGAGAGAACAACCACACCCGCCCAAAACCGCGCAAGCCCACCAAACCTCTGGAACATGCAGGTTAAACCTCTGGAACCTGCAGGTTCAACCTCTGCAACCTGCTGGTTCAACCTCTGCAACCTGCTGGTTCAACCTGTGCAACCTGCTGGTTCAACCTGTGCAACCTGCTGCTTCAACCTCTGCAACCTGCAGCTTCAACCTCTGCAACCTGCAGGTTCAACCTCTGCACCCTGCTGCTTCAACCTCTGCAACCTGCAGGTTCAACCTCTGCAACCTGCAGGTTCAACCTGTGCAACCTGCTGCTTCAACCTCTGCCTCTGCAACCTGCTGGTTCAACCTCTGCAACCTGCTGGTTCTACCTCTGCAACCTGCTGTGGTTCAACCTCTGCAACACTGCTGCTTCAACCTCTGCAAACCTGCTGCTTCCAACCTCTGCAACCTGCTGTCACCTCTTCAACCTGCAGTTTCAACCTCTGCAAACCTGCTGCTTCAACCTCTGCAACCTGCAGGTTCAACCTGCTGGTTCAACCTCTGCAAATTGCTGGTTCAACCTCTGCAACCTGCTGGTTAAACCTCTGCAACTTGCTGTGGATCAACCTCTGCAACCTGCTGGTTCAACCTGTGCAACCTGCTGCTTCAACCTCTGCCTCTGCAACCTGCTGGTTCAACCTCTGCAACCTGCTGGTTCAACCTCTGCAGCCTGCTGTGCTTCAACCTCTGCAACCTGCTGCTTCAACCTCTGCAACCTGCTGCTTCAATCTCTGCAACCTGCTGGTTCAACCTCTGCAACCTGCTGGTTCAACCTCTCTGCAACCTGCTGGTTCAACCTCTGCAACCTGCAGGTTCAACCTCTGCAACCTCTGCAACCTGCTGCTTCAACCTCTGCAACCTGCTGCTTCAACCTCTGCAACCTGTTGCTTCAACCTCTGCAACCTGCAGCTTCGACCTCTGCAACCTGCTGGTTCAACCTCTGCAACCTGCTGGTTCAACCTCTGCAACCTGCTGGTTCAACCTCTGCAACCTGCTGGTTCAACCTCTGCAACCTGCTGTTGATGTTGGGAACTTGCACCGGGGAGGGTTTTGGTGGGTTTGCGCGGTTTTCGGCGGGTTTGGTTGTGCTCTTGGCGGTTTTTGGTCATTTCAAATTTCGATTCTGGATGGGGAAAGGGCCCACGGGGACACCGCCAGAATTGGGCCTGCGACCGTGCCGAAATCCCCTAGCGAGGCAGCCGCCAGCCCCCAGAACTATCTGGCCATGGCCTAATGGGTAAACGTCTGCCTCCAAAGCCCTCCCCGCAAGGTCTGTGGGCTCAGTCCCCGGGGGTCTCATTTGGGCCCTTTCCCCACCTGGAATCGAGATTTTGGGGTGACCTGAAGCTCTGGGCTCTCTGGAGACTTAAGAAACGCTATTATAAGGGTTGCAAATCACACCAAATCCGTGCAAATGCACATTAAACCGTGCAAAGACATACGAAATTCGTGCACATGCACACCAAGTTCGTGCTAATACACACGAAATGCGTGCAAATACACACCAAATCCATGCAAATACACACTGAATCCGTGCAAATACACGCCGAATCCATGCAAACACACACTAAATCCGTGTAAAGACACACACACTAAATCCCCCTAACTACACACCAGGCACACAGTAAATGCGTGCAAATACACACGGAATCTGTGCAAATACACGCACTACATCCCTGTAATTAGACACCAAATACTGCGTGCAAATACTCACGATCCGTGCAAATCCATGCAAATACACACTAAATTCGTGCAACTACACAGGACGTGAGTGCAAATACACACCAAATCCGTGCAAATACACACGGAATCCGTGCAAATACATCTAAATCCGTGAATCCGTGCAAATACATATTAAATCCGTGCAAATACACACTGAATCCGTGCAAATACACACTAAATCCGTGCAAACACACAAATCCGTGCAAATACACACTAAATCCGTAAATACGCATTAAAAAAATAGGCTTCAATAAAGGCTTGGCTAATAAAACTTTTCATGCGGCTCAATTGAGCAGTTGCTGACTCATGCAATTATAATTCTCCCCTCTAAACCCTCAATCTATAGACCCTAAACCTTCCCCTTAATTCAAATTAGGGTTTAAAGGGCGGTGCTACTTCCGGGTGGATCGGGGGAAAAGTGTTTTTATAATTAGGGGGTCCTTTAATAAACGGGGGAGGGGATTAACAGGGTTCAAATCTTCGAGTCATGGGTTCCGGAACATGTCAGACATTTGTCTCCTTTCTTGCAACTGCTTACGTTTCGTGGGAGCTTTCGAGACGCATGAGTTGCATACTGGACCCCCAAAGCCTTAGAGTCCCTTCAACACCCACTAAACCCCAAAGCCCTGCACCTCGTAACCCCGAAAACTCTAGACCCTTCAACCTTGAAAACCCAAACCTTTTAGCGCTCCCAGGCTCGAAAAGCGACTGTGCTTCAAATTTATTTCTGAGGCCCAATCTTCAACTTCCTCACTGGCATACCCCAACCCCTCCATGATCCCTAGATCCGAAACCCATGGCCCACCGGCTGTAACCCACCCTCAAGGCAGAGTCTCCTTAGGAATTATTTTCCATCTTTGTTGAATTTGGGTAGTTGTCAAAATTAAGGTTCCGTTTTGGGTACCCTAAATGTTAGGTGTCGTACTATATTCGGGACCCCAAAAGTGACCCTAATTTTGACAACCACCCATATAAAACCCAAGACGACATTAAGCATAGTACTCTTTTAATGGTTCGAAGTGGGGTATCGCAAAGAGCCGAGGTGTTGAGCCACCGGATCAAGCGCTACTCCCAGAAGATCCAAGAGTGCCTAGGTTTTGCTATAATCATAGTAAGGAACCCCCCAAAAATAGTACAGGTAATAATTTAGGCCCCCCATAGTAGTTCTGCTTGTCCTTGGGGCTTAGGGCTGTCTCTGAAAGGGTTCCATCTCGATATTTAATCAAGACCCTACTATGTTGCTATATATCGATTTGGGGATAACTTTTGGCTTCCCCTTGTAATGTTCAATATAGAGCCCTAGTTACAAACACTGTTGGGAACTGTTGAAATCGACACCCGCGTTGGGCCTTTATCAGGGTACCCCAAATACCCTAAACCTAAACTTTATCTACTCAGGACCCTATTACGTTGGGTCTTTTTCAGGTTCCCCTTATCTTGAAACTGAGCCAGGCTCCACTTCGGAGTTCGTGTTGAGGGTTTAGGCTTTCGGTTTTTGGGTTTAGGACTTTGTGTTTCGGGTTTGGGTTTCAGGCTTTAGGGCTCAGGGTTAAGGCTTTTATGGCTTTTGTGGTTTAGGGGTAAGGTTTCGGGGGTTTAGGGTTTAGGCTTTAGGGCTTTGGGGTCAGGTTTCGATCGGGTTTAGGGCTGAGGGTTCAGAGTGGGTCGAGCTGAGGAGTCGGGTCACAGGTTTCGCTCCGAAGCTCTGCTTTCAATGAAGGCTCGCTACCAGATCCCCGAGCTGTAGAGACTTGAACTAAATAGGGTTTGGGGGTATACTACAGGGCCTATAAGAGGGGCGAGACATGTGGGGTACCGTCTCTCAGCGGACAATGCATGGCATTTTTTCCCGCCTCCCCGCCCCCGTTTTGCCAAGGGGTCGTCACGCCCATATCAAGATCTTCCCGCCCCCCCTGGAAGCTCACTTTTTAAACAGCCTCCCTTATAAGAGGGGCATATACTCATTCTATGTACATTCAGACCCCTGTAATACGCCCTTATTCAGCGCTCTATGACCGTATTGCTAGCTGCAGGACACTAACCATAAACTTTCAATCCTACACGCCTACACGCCCTGAGCCCTAAACCCTCAAAGCCCCAAACTTAAAGCGTATAGTATTACGTATTATTTTGGTACAGTAGTATTATTATAGTGTAGTATTATTATAGTATAGTACTATTATAAGACTAGCATGCTGTACCTTGACATCTGCAGGTGCCGCGATGTTCGGGGCCGACTCTGCAACCAGCGCCTCATCCGCAAAGTTGCTGTACCAGGACCCTCCTTGTACCTTCAAACAGGGGTATATGGCCCCAAATAATGGGCATTTCGGGTCTAATGGAGGGTAGATGGAGGGTCTAGGTAGTCTGTAGGGCTATATGATATTTATAGGGTGTTCCTAGATGGAGTTTTGCAGGGTTTCCTGGCACTGAGGTTTCTCTCAGCCATGCGCGTGGTGAAGTGCTTCAGGTTGGAGTGGCTGGTCCGCATGGATAGGGTCTAGGGTTTAGGGTTGGGCGTTGGGATTTTCTTGCGGCATGTTAGGTCTTGGCTCGGAGAACTTTGGTAGGAGAAGTGAAGTAGCGCTGAAAAGTGGGCCCACACAAAGAGAGGAGCTTTTTGAACGCGCAGCAGTCAAGCAAACAGATCCTCATCCGTGTAACGCCGAAAGGATCATACACTCGAAACCCCAAGCCGTAAAATGCCCTGCTGAGCTACTTTCGCGTTCTTAGACGTTGGTTCTATATTCATTATAATTGATTTCCAAGGGATTAATCGACAGGTTCCAAGGGCAGCCGCTTAAGCCTAACCTGTCCGTCCAACATCGAACCATTAGTATCATCAGCATTCTAAGTATTGTTGTTGTTATTGCGTTTGTTCTCGTTATTTATCACTAATGTTGCTGCTGTTCTTATTGTTTCGATGGTTGTTCTTCTTCTTCTTCTTCTTATCACCAGTATCATTAGTAGTATTATTACGATTATGGCTACTCTTATTATTGCTTTCTAGTCTTAGTCTTCTTATCATAATGAAAAGGAAGAAGCCCAACCGAGACCCTAAACCCCTAACCCCCAACCCCAAACCCTTAAACCCTAAACCCCTAAACCCCTAAACCCCTAAACCCCTAAACCCCTAAACCCCAAACCCCTAAACCCCTAAACCCCTAAACCACCAAACCGCCAAACCCTTAAACCCCTAAATCCTAAACACCGAGGGCCATGGCTTTGGAGATGCTCGAAGAAGCTCGGGAGGCGGAGCTCTCGGCGCAATGGGGGAAGCGGAAGGCAGGGCCCCTGAAGGGGGGGTGTTCTTTTTAGGGGTTCCTGTGAAGGGTATAGGGTTTAGGGCTTTAGGGTGTTGGGGTTTTAGGGTTTAAGGTTCCGATATTAAGGGTAAGTTTGGGGTTTGGGGTTCCTTAATAAAGGGTCCTACGGGTTATGGGGTTCTATACGTGTTTCGATGAGAAGAGGCAGGCTGCTGATTAGGAGATGCAAAAAGATGGGTGCCTTTCAGGGCTTGTGAGGGTTCCTTTTCTGGGTTCCTTTCAAGGGCTTCTATGCAGGGCGCAGGGGCTGGAACGAGGCTTCCGTAAGGCTTCGATGGGGTATGGTTTTGTGGGTGGTTTAGTAAATTTAGTAGTCTTTTGAAGAGTTCTCTAGAGTCAAACGTAAGGGTTCCTTTAGGAGTTTGTTGGATTCAGGATTTTGGATTTTTTTTGAGCTAAAGGGCTCAGGGCTTGTGTGGGCAGGTCAGGGGGGACCAGCCCACGGTGACGCGCAAGAGTTGAGGGTTTTTCTTTGACTTAGGGATGCTTGTGCTCGGGAGTTATTTTCGTGGTGTAAGGGTTCAGGAAGATCCTTGATCTGGATTCTGCTGTTTCGGCCACCAACCTCCACAACCTCTGAGCCTGGGAAGGTTTCATGGTTCTTGTCAAGCATACTGTTTACTTCAGATCCGTATTATGGTAGCTTAAACCTTAAACCCTGTACCCTTAAAGGAACCGTTATATATCCCTATCATGGTAATTTTCAAGAAATTCCTTGACAAGGACCCAGGCTTTTCCCTTCAACAACTTCCTAAACCCTAAACCCAAACCCAAAGCCCCAAACCCGGAACCCCCTTGCATTTCCTCAAACCACCGAGCCTTCGAAGGTTTTTCCCTTCAACAACTTCCTGGGTAGCACCGTGAGCCTCTTTGGGACCATCGCCGCCTTCGTATCTCGGCAAGAAGCCATGGCCTAAAGCTTTAGGGGTTCTGTTCATGGCACTAAAACCTATTCCGCAACTGCTCAAGGTCCCTTAGAAGGAGCTATAAGGGTAGGAACCCTTGAGATTTAGGGTTTAGGGCCCTTGACGGGATCTATCAGGCCTCCTTCAAGGGATCTAGAGGAATCCTAAGGTTTTTCTTTCACGCTGAGCTATCGTTTATAGGCTTCAAAGTGTTTATACTGTTTAGGGTTTAGGGCGTGGGGTTCATGTAAATTCTTGAGCTATCGTTGATAGGCCCCAAGGAGTTTACTGTTTAGGGCTTGGGGTTCATTTAATATAAATTCATGGGTTTAGGGTTTAGAGTTTAGGGTTCCTCTTCTCAAGGCCTGCCCATCGGGGGCTTCCCGTAGAGGCCCGCGCAGATGCCGCTAGACTTTAAGACAGTAAAGGCCCTTATTCTAGAAACCCTGGATAGAACCAAAGGCATACTTATGGGACACTTTTTGGGAAACCTTGTAGGAGCCCGTGCTATAGGCGCCTTAACAAAAGTATTATAGGAGCCCATACAAGAACCTTTAAAGGAGCCCTTAAATCATAATAATTGCTACAGCCGTTGTAGGAACCATAATCCTAAGCTCGGAGCCCTCAAAACAGTTTTGAAAGACCCGATAGATCCCTTAAAGGAACCCTTGAAGAAACCCCTGTAGCTCCCTTACAGGATCCCTTAAAGGAGCCCCCGCAGATCCCTAGAAGGATCCCCCGAAACCTTAAACCTCAAAGCCTGAACCCTAAACCCTAAACCCTAAATACCCCAAGCCCTAGATGAGATAGGGGGAATGTGGAGTTAGTTGAGAGCCGACTGTCGGCAGACGTAAAAGTCAACTCAACTTAAAAAAAAAAAAGAGACCAAGGATCCCCCCCCCGAAAAGATCCCTTAACGGAACCCCTGGAGCCCTGGAGGTCTGGCTGGAGCTGGTTCTCGACCGGCCGGTAGATGCGGCCATCGCTTTTACGGCGCCAGGGTTTGGGCTTCAGGGCTTAATTTTTAGGGCCTTTAGGGTTGAAGCTTTAGGGGTTTAGGGCCTTTGGGGTTGAAGATTTAGGGGTTTAGGGCCTTTAGGGTTGAAGCTTCGGGGTTTAGGGCCTCTAGGGTTGAAGATTTAGGGGTTTAGGGCCTTTAGGGTTGAAGATTTAGGGTTTAGGGTTTAGGGTTGAAGATTTAGGGTTTAGGGTTTAGGGTTGAAGCTTCGGGGTTTAGGGTTTAGGGTTGAAGATTTAGGGTTTAGGGTTTAGGGTTGAAGATTTAGGGTTTAGGGTTTAGGGTTGAAGATTTAGGGTTTAGGGTTGAAGATTTAGGGTTTAGGGTTTAGGGTTGAAGCTTCGGGGTTTAGGGTTTAGGGTTGAAGATTTAGGGTTTAGGGTTTAGGGTTGAAGATTTAGGGTTTAGGGTTTAGGGTTGAAGCTTCGGGGTTTAGGGTTTAGGGTTGAAGATTTAGGGTTTAGGGTTTAGGGTTGAAGCTTCGGGGTTTAGGGTTTAGGGTTGAAGATTTAGGGTTTAGGGTTTAGGCGGTTTCGGGTTGAAGATTTAGGGTTTAGGGTTCAGGGTTGAAGATTTAGGGTCTAGGGCTTCGGGTTTAGGGCCAACATCCCGTTTACGCCTTGACAAAAAGATAAATGCACAGATGCGTAAAATCGATGCTGAACAGACTAACTACCCGACTTAAACAAATAGATAAGAAGTAATACATGAATACGTAATAAAGTGGATACATAAACAGAAATTGGTGTACACAAACTCGCAACTCTACATGTGTCTGTACACACACATACATGTGTACATATGGATGCACATGCATGTAGAGCTCACGTATACGCGTATGCACTCCCCCGCCTGCGCCCGCATGTCGCAGGCGCTTGAATTCCAAGATTTCCTCATGTTACCGGATTGCCAACTATTGCCTAGAGCTCTGCGTGTTGGAGCAAGCAAGCTTCAAAGGGGAAAAGGAGGGACCCTTAATGACTTAATGGGGACCCCTACCCTATAGTAGGCTATAGAATGGGTATATAATAGCTATATGAAGGGTAAAAAGCCAAGGGGTCCTTTTAAAGGGTCCCTCCTTTTCCCCCTGGAAAGCTGGCAGCCTGTGCCCCCGCAGCCAGCTTGGGGGTTGCTGGGAGGTGCTGTCCTGGAACAAGTTGCTGAAGGACTCCATGATGCCACTCGGCCAATACCCCTGAATTAAGCAATGGACCCTTAAATTAGAAGGGGCTTCATATTATGATTTAAGCTTTATTCCTTAAAATCCGGCGTCCTTCAGCAACAAGGGTGGGCCTGCGAATCTCTTCTGAGTGCTGAGGTTGAATTTGTTTTTGTTGACTTAATACAGGGGCCATAATAATTACCAATACTATGTTGGGGGTTCTTACAGTAGAATGGGCCCCCCAACCTTATTCTAACAATTAGGGTCCCTATATTACAGTACCCTTGTAGATCCCTTATAGTAACCCTTAAACACCCCTTTAACCCCCAAACCATATTCTAAGTGTTAGGGTCCCTATATGATTATATTAGGTCCGTGCCCAATCAGATCGCGACGCTCCTGGATACCTACGTGGGCCTCTTGGATGCCATGCTAGGAGGGTCGGGGGACTCAGTAACTGGTTATTCTAAAGACTTATAAGTATAACCGCAATCAGGGTCCCTTTTAGGGTACTTATAAGTCTACTTACTACCTAAGTCCCCCGACCCTCCAAGTGAGATAGGTTACGGCTCGGGGGTAATGTAGGGGCCTTCACAATTAGAATAGGGTTCCTTTTAACGGGTTCCTGTGAAGGGTTCTATAAGGGATCTATAATAGGGTTCTATAATGTAGGGGCCTTAACAATTAGAATAGGGTTTGGGGGTATATAATAAAATACGAACCCCCCCCAAAAGCTTGTCCTAATTATCAAAGCCCCTACTTTGCGACACGGGAAAGTCCTGTGGCTTGTCGCCTTGGCCCAGCAACCCCAACCGAAGCTCGACCCAGTATCCCTAAACCCTACACCCCTGTAAAACCCATGAAGCCCAAAACCCTAAACCCCGTAAAACCCAGAGAATTCCTAAATCTCAACTCCTTCCGAGGCATCCAGCGCGTGCAGAAGCTGTTGGCATGTCAGTCGCAAGACAGCTCCTCGGCTCCCACATTCAGGGCTTTAGGGTGAAGGGTTCAGGGTTTAGGGTTCCCAAATTTAGGGCTTCAGGGTTTAGGGTTCAGGGTTTAGTATCTAGGGTTTAGGGTTTAGGGTCTCGGGCTTTAGGGTTAAGGGTTCAGCGGTAGCCGAAAAGACCTGCCTTCTTAGGGTTCCTGTTTATGGTTTCTATATATAGTTCCTTAAAATGGTAGGTCTTTTTGGCTACAGGCAGGGTTTAGTATCTAGGGGTTTAGGGTCAAAGGGTTTATGTCTTAGGGCTTAAAGTGTTAAGGGTTGATTTTAATGGGTTTACTGTTCGGGGCTCAGGCTCAGGTGGAGCAGCTTGTTGACGATCGTGGTCCCCAGCATCGGAAGCAGATCGCAACATATTCAGATGTCCCATGGGTTGAAATGTGTGTGTGTGTGTGTGTGTGTGTGTGTGTGTGTGTGTGTGTGTCCACCCCTGTTTCGAAGGGTAGGTAAATCTGAGTCGAATGAGCAGGGGGCCGGTGCTCTCCCTGGGGGTCACCGGCCAACGAAGACACCCCCAGGGAGGGGTGCAAACGTACCTGCAAATCAGTAACCCTAGAGCAAGATTCGTACGAGCTTCTGATTGCATGTTCTGACTTTCCCTTGCAGCTTCTGACTTTCCCTGACAGCTGCTGACTTTCCCTGACAGTATGCACCGACAGATCAGACCTGCGACACGATGTGTCAAGTGTGCTTCACAACGGCATTCCCTATGGGCGCCGTGTCTCCCAGAGGTAGCTCTGGCGCTGACTTTCCCGATTGACTGTATAAGCATTGGATGACTTTCCCTGATTCTATATCCGTGCTTGCAAGCTGACTTTCTCAGTGAGTCTTTCCCAAATGCCTTTGCCGAAACCTGAATGCTGACTTTCCCACTGACTTTCTATGATCTGATTGACTTTCCCGAATCTGACTTCACCGCTGACTTGTCGCAGGTCTTCGGCTGCAAGTTGAGTACATGAGCTGTACTTTTGGTAGTTGCTGATCAGTTTGCAAGTGCTGCAGTCTGAGACTTCGTTCAGCTTTGGCACCAGGTGTTACCTTGGTCAGTGACTCTGCGATCGGCAAGAGCAGTGCAAGTGAGTGCGTGTCGTCGTGCAAGTATTGTGCAAGTGTAAGTTTGGCAAACGTTTTTCTTCTGTGGTCAATGCGTGCATGCCTACATGCGTTCGGAGTGCGCATCTCGCTGCTTTACTGCATCGCAAGTGTCGTGCTAGTGCAAGCTTGAAAACGTTTTTCTTCCTTGGTGAGTGAGTGCATGCCTACATGCTTTCGGAGTGCGCATCTCTCTGCCTTACTGCATCGCTTGCTTGTAGCGTTTTGTTTGAACAGAAGCGAAGCTGGTGGAACGAGCTGTGGTTTCTGGTGGCCCGGTGGAGCATTGGAGCTGCTGGTGGTGGAGCTTTGGTTTCTGGTGGTCTGGTGGCGATCTGGACAAGTGAGTGCGCATTGTCATGCAAGTGCTGTGCAAGTGATTGCATCGTCATGCATGTGCTATGTACGTGAGTGCTTCCTGTCAGTAAGTTCGAAAGAGCAATGAGCCCGGGAGGGCTTGTGTGTGTCCACCCCTGTTTCGAAGGGTAGGTAAATCTGAGTCGAATGAGCAGGGGGCACTCGTCCGACTTTTCGTCAGACTTTGCAGTGTCCGACCAAGCTGGAGTGACTGGTTCAGTACATGGTTTTGCTTGCTTGTGCGACTCGTACACTGCAGTTTAGCGACATGAGTGCGGTTTGCATATGTTGCAATGCGTAAACTCTGCAGTTTCGTGACATGAGTGCGGTTTGCATATGTTGGAATGCGTAGACTCTGCAGTTTCGTGACAGGAGTGCGGCTCGCCTATGTTGGAATGCGTAGACTTCAGTTTCGTGTCATCGGTGCAGTTCGCCTATGTTGGAACGCGTAGACTCTGCAGTTTCGTGACACATGATTGCGGTTCGCCGATGTTGGAATGCGTAGACTCTGCAGTTTCGTGACATGAGTGCAGTTCTCCGATGTTGGAATGCGTAGATTCTGCAGTTTCGTGACATGAGTGCGGTTCGCCGATGTTGGAATGCGTAGACTCTGCAGATTTGCGACATGAGTGTGGTTTGCTTATGTTGGAATGCGTAGACTCTCTGACATGAGTGTGGTTCGCCTAAGGTGGAGCGCATAGACTCTGCAGTTTCGTAGACTATCTGCTTTGAGACGCTGCTGGAAATGATTGCTGAGAGTATTCCTGCCATGCAGCCCTATCCGATTGAATGACATAACGGAGAGTCTAGCAGTGCAGGTTTGCCGTGCAGCAAGTGTGAGCGCATACTCGTTTTGTAATGGCAGACGAGGTCATTGATTGCAGTCTCCTGTGCATGGACTTTCTGTAGAGTGATGGTGGATGCCCAATTGCTTTGCATCCTCGGTTTTGAACAATAAGAAAGCCCAGCACGATGCTGTATATTGGCTCTACAAGCGTCTCAGACTCTGCAGTTTCGTGACATGAGTGCGGCTCGCCAATGTTGGAATGCGTAGACTTCAGTTTTGTGTCATCAGTGCGGTTCGCCTATGTTGGAATGCGTAGACTCTGCAGTTTCGTGACATATGAGTGCGGTTTGCCGATGTTGGAATGCGTAGACTCTGCAGTTTCGTGACATGAGTGCGGTTCGCCGATGTTGGAACGCTCAGTCTCTGCAGACTGGTGACATGAGTGTGGTTTGCCTATGTTGGAATGCGTAGGGCGTAGACTCTCTGACATGAGTGTGGTTCGCCTATGTTGGAATGCGTAGATTCTGCAGTTTCGTGACATGAGTGCGGTTCGCCGATGTTGGAATGCGTA